CGCGCCCAGGGCCAGTGCGCGCGGCGCTCGGGCGGCTGATGCGGTGCTTCACGACGCGGCGCGCCGACGCCCCGCCCCCGCCATTGCTCAGAGATCCAGGCGCAGGCCCCCGCCAACGCAATGGCAATTCGCGGTGGCGACGTTGCGCGGCTGACGGTGCGGGCGACGTGCGCCTGCGCTTCTCCGATGGAGTGCGCCCCCGAGCGGCGGCGGGGCGCGGCGGCCGCGCGCGCAATGTAGATGTCGTGCCCGCGCAGCGCGCACGCTGGCTGGCGCGGTCGATCCGTCTACCGCGCTGGCTTGCCATTGCGCCTTTTTTCAGTTTGGGCGCTGGCCACATTGCGAGCTACCGCGTCATCGCGCGCTGCGCGCGCAGCTGGCGGCTCGCAAGACATCGGCTGGATGGCGGGTTGGCCGCCAAATGCCACCAGGGCGCGCGCGGCGCCGCTGTGCAACGTTGACCGCGACGTTCCAGTTGCGGGCCCGACGCGGGCCGCGCGGGCCGTCGCCGATGCAATGCGCGGCGCAATCGGCTTCGATGGGGCGCAGGGCCGACAAACCGCGCGTGCGACGGCGCCCCGCTCAATTCCCGCGCCGTGAACTTTGGGCGCAGCGCGCTGCCCCCCCCCCCATCGGGGCGCGACGCAATCGCGGACTCGAGCGGGCCCCGCGCGCGAACGGGGGGGAGGGGGGATGCGTGCGCGCGCATTCGCGGCGTCGCGCCAGCGCGCTGCGCACGCGCGCACCGCCGCGCGACCGAAGCGCCCAGAGTCAAGCCCTCATCGTGGCGATCTGGGCTCATGCGCGCCGCGCTCTGCGGCGAGAACGACGCGCCCGTCTTGTGGCTTGGGCTTGGCAGGTCGGAGCTGTGAGCAGGGGCTCGGCGCCGCGCGCCATCGCTGGCGCGTCGCGCTGGCCGCGAGCGCCGAGCGCGCAGCGAGCGCGCGCGCGGGGATGGGTGGGTGAGTGCCGAGTCGGCGGGTTGGCGGGCAGCGTTGAATAGTTGCCCGCTTGGCGAAGGGCCCAAACATATGCAGTGGTGAGTACCGTCGCTGTGCGCGTCGCCTTCGGTGGGGCCCCCTACGGGGCCGCGAGACGCTGCGCCGGGCTGGGGAGGCGCGTGCGAACGCCGCCACTGGGGCCCCAGGTGGAGCTTGATAAGGGCAACGAAACGCTGCTCTGGCGGTGGAGACGCACGTAAACGCCGCCACAGGGGCCTTAGGTTGGGCACCCCTATTGGGCGGCGAAGCGCGGCGCTGGGCGGGGGAGGGGGGGGTGGCATGCGAACGCCGCCGCTGCGGCATTAGGCGGGGCACCTTATAGGGCCGCGAAGCGCTGTGCTGTTCGGGGGGGGGCGCATGCGAACGCAGCCACTGGGGCTGAAGGCGGGGCTCTCTATGGGGCCACGAAGCGCTGTGCTGGGTGGGGGAGCGCATGCGAACACCGACATTGTTGCCTTAGGTGGGGTCACCTGCGGTGCAACGAAACGTTGTGTTGGGCTGGGACAAAAGTATGCAAACCCCGCAGCTGGGGCCTCAAGTGGCGCGCCTTATTGAGGCCACGAGGCGCCGTTCTGGGTGGTGGAGACGCATGCAAACACCGCCGCCGAGGCTTGAGGTGGAGCTCCCTGTGCGGCCACGAAACGCTGTGCTGGGCGGGGGAAAAGCATGCGAACGCAGCCGCTGGGGCAGTGGGTGGGGCCACCTATAGGGCCGCGAAGCGCTGCGTTGGGTGGGGGAGGCGCATGCGAACACCGCCACAGTGGCCTTAGGTGGAGCCCGTATGAAGCCACGGAACGTTGTGCTGGGCGGGGGAGGGGGAGGGGTTGCGCATGCGAACGCCGCCACTAGGGCCGTAGGTGGATCCCCCTATGGGGCCGCGGAACGTTGTGTTGGGCGGGGAAGACGCGTGCGAGCACCGCCATTGGGGCCTTATGTGGCGCTCGAAGCGCTGTGCTGGGCGGGGGAGACGCATGCGAACACCGCCACTGGGGCGTAAGGTGGAGCCCCCTTATGGGGCCGCGGGGCGCTGTGCTGGGTGGGGGGGTGGGCGCATGCGAACACAGCCACTTTGGCCTCAGATGGGGCTCCCTATGGGGCCACGAAGCGCAGTTCTGGGTGGGGGGGGAACGCATGCGAACACTGCCATGGGTGCCTTGCGTGGAGCTCCATATGGGGCCACGGCACGCTGTGCTGAGTGTGCGGAATCAGAGACATGCGGGGAGCAGACGCAAAGAGGGGGAAGAGGGAGGAGGAAGGAGGAGGGACGCGAGGCGTTGCCTGTTCAACGCGAGGGTCCAACCCACAGGACGGTGAACACATTATAGAATTACTTGGTGTGGCGCCGCGAAGCGGTGTCAAATTGCGTGCCAAAGGCTTCTCAAGGAACCTTGCAAACACGTTCTCATGTCACGTTCAGAACCGATGTAAGGGCACGCCAAGGCCCCCTTCCAGAGACCGTCGGATGCATCTCAGGGGCTCTCCAGAGACCACCGAGGGCTTCTGGAGGGGCTTACTGGGGATACTCACGGACATGTTCAAAAAGGCCCTTCCATCATCTTCAAGACTACCTTGAGGGCCCCGCCCAAGACGTCGTTCGGGGTTTCGCGAGGGGCTACCTAGGCAGCGCCAGGTCATTCAGGGCCTTCCAGAGACCCCTACGAATCCAAAATGGAAACCTCCAGATATCAGTGCGGGTGGCGACGAGGTCTTCCAGCTATCCTCAAGAGTTTCAGACAGGGGTCCTTCGGTAACTTGTTAAGGGTGTTGCAAGGGGCCTTCCAGGGACCATTTGAGGCATGTGAAGGGCCATTGTGGCAATCTTGAAAGGTTCGTATGGTTTGAACCTGATTCTCCAGAGGCACAGAAGGCACCACGAATCAAAACCTCCAGAATGATACGACGGCTGAATCTTATGATGCCCGTAGCGTGCCTACCTGAGACCCGTAAGGGTTATTGAAGGGCCCACCAGGGAGCTCCGATTGATGGGGCCCAGTGGTTTTGATTGGGGCTCTTCACAGACCTTGCCGAAGCCCCGCCCAAACACCATCAAGGGGCTTTCGAGGCACGTGTCAGGGGCATTCCAAATATTCCTCAGTGGCGCTGGGGGGGGGCACCCCTTGGGCATCACGGCTGCGTCCTGCATGTGTTGGTGTGCATGCCATGGTATGTTGCGCCATGCTATGCAATGCACTGCCACGTGTTTGGGGAAGTTCAGCCTCGTACGTTACGCGATGTTATGCGTTTCAAGTTCCTGATGCCGTTTGCCAGCCTAGCGTTTGTAGGGGTCTCGAGCGCCATGCTGTGCTATGCCATGCTATGCGCTGCTACGCGCTGTCGCGTCTGCTCCGTTTTCGCAACCTTCTTTGTTGAGGGGACGTGTTGCGGCATGTGGCTACTAGCCTCGCGCCCCCCCCCTGGGACCCACGCGCAAGTGGAAACCATTGCGTCGGCCAGACCCTGCCGCGATAGCGAAATCGAAACCCCTGTCAGAGCAGGTCCCTTCTACCAGCGTCGACTCCAAATATACAAGGTCAGGGCTCGCCCAAAACCGCGGTGCAGCAGTCTGGCCATTACACGCTCGAGTTATGGGGGGGGGAGCGGCGGCGGTTCATAATACACTGCTACAGTTCCAACATCCGTGTGCACAACACACTGCAGGCAATGGTGATGATGAGGCCGTGCAATAGCATCGATTACATTCTAAGCAATGAAAGAAACGCAACTGTTCCAACAACACCAGACGTTGCCTAGGGCAGCCCTGGCGCATACAACACGTCAAGGGCAGTCTTCTGGCTCCAAGCCCTCGCCTGGGCGCATCTGCCGCTCTCGGTTGAAGAGCTCGTCACTGCCAGGGATCTGGCTCAATCGCCCCCTGGCGTCAGTGCGGTCGTGGTGCTCGACAGGAAGGTGGCGAGAGAGAGCATGGTTTTCGCCGCAATCTTGCTTATTCTCAAGCCAATGCATCAGAAGTCCGAGGGGGCGCCCCTGCGACCTCCGAGCCCCGCTCGAGCTCCTTCTCGTCATCCTGCAATTTCGGCTGTGGCAGCTACACTGCGCCACAAACTCGTCCCTGAAGCTGTAGTGGGTTATCTTGTCACCGTTCGGGAGCCTCAGCGTATACGTCGGACCACCCGCCAAGGATGGGCCCCCTCCTGCAGGAGGTGGCGGAGGAGGCGGGGCGCCAGCCCCACCCGAGCACATATCATCATGGCCGCTGCCACTTGGCGGCTCGGGAGGCGGTTCACCGCCGCCTGGAGGATCTCCCTCATCAAGTGCATGGCCGAACACGTCTTGCATGATATCTACGTGCCCTGCGCCTTCTGCCTCAGACGAGTGCTGGGGGTCAGACTCGTGCAAGCTCAACTGATCAACCTCGTCCTCCGACTCTTCATGGGACTGGGCGGAAGCGGGCCAGCTATCAGTGATTGCAGCTGCCTCGGTATCGTCCTGCCCAGAGTCGCAACCAGAGCCATGGCCAGCAAGAGGCCCATCCCCGTGACCACCAACGCTGCCGTCCTCGAGGGGCTCGGGCTCCGGTGGGTAGGCACCTCTCCCACGTCCTCTGGCACGGCCCCTGCCTCGTCCGCCGCCTCCACCTTCCCCGCGCCCCCGCCCGCCAGGGCGGGCAACGGGCTCTTCCCTCGCATGAATAGCATCAGAGGGCCCCCCCCAGAAGCATGCAGCTGCGACTGATCCATCAGGAAGTGCAACCCCGTCCACTGAGACGACACTCGGGTCAACTGAACCAATCATTCGGCCCGATTCCTCAACAGAGAAAAGCCGAACATACCATTTCGAATCCTTATCCAGTCTGTGCAAGAACGTATACTGTGATAAGATCTGCCACTCTGTCAAGACATCAAAGCGCCCAAGAGCATTGAATATCGAAACTCGCTCTGGAGCAGGGTGCCGCATAGAGGTGAAAGTACAGCGATCTGGAGAGCCATTCTGCCACGCAGCGTGCAACCAATATTGTTCGAAAGCGTAAGCATCAATCACCTCTGGCTCTGGCGGGCACGTCACCTCGACGCCAGTAATTGAATAGACGAAGTTGCATTCATGAAGTGATCGGCGGAGATGCTTGTCGTGTCTGGTGAGGGCCTTGATGCAAGCGTTGAACTGTTTGAACATGACCTCGGTCGCCCGCCCAGCGAAACCACAAAGGCACATGTTCGCCTTATGGCACAATGTGTGTCTGCCTGCTCTCTTCTCCTCTCGACTGAAGGCTGGTGCATTCTGGAACAAGATCGGCTTGTGGAGCTGGCCCCATGTAGACTGGGCCACTGCATATAAACCCTGACCGAAGTGCGTCTCCCTGTTGACCTTGGCCAACGCCAAAGCATCTTTGGACACCAAGTCGAACTTACCCTCGATGTGCCGAAACACGCACTGGCCCTGAACTCCAAGATCAGGCACAGGCAGTGAAGCGGACTCACCCGAAACCTTCCCCACATCGTCGTACGCGAACTTGTCGGCAGCGTCTCTGGTAGACGATTCCTTGGCTGAGTAGGTGGCCAACTCGTTGCCAACGATCTCCTCAAACTGCCGATCTCTCTTGTTATCTTCCCGAACGCCCGTGATGACAGCTTTCAAGTTGGAGTCCCAATCCCCCGAACTCGGCAATGCCATAGATGTTGACGGTTTCAGGTCCACGGCGTCCTTCTCAGAGATGTCTTGTTTCAGTGCCAACTCAAGCTGGCGCAACTCGGCCCCGACCTCGCCACGTTGACGTCGCAATCGTTTCCTGGCGTACTTGTCCACTGAGAAACTAGGGCCATCAAGCCGATGCGCCTGAGCTGCTGCCTTCCCAACCTCATCTAACCGTCGTCGTTCCGTCTCGTCCAGGGCGCGGTACGCGGCCATCATCTCCTCGCGAGTGCGAATGTTGCCTGAGTTAGCTTCCTCATTCTGGAATGCTCGCCAGCGGCCACCTCCTCCACGACGCTTCTTCGGCTGCTGTCCTTCACCTTCGTCTTCGTCGTCGGCATCCCCTTCGCCACCATCGCCCGCAGGAGCTGGCTCGTCCGAACGTCGAGGCTTCAATGCGCCCTCTCGTTGCACTCTCCGCCACGAACGTTGGATGTGCTTGCTGCTCAGGTCGAGGATGCTCATCGAGTGTGTCTGTGTAGCAGATACAAACAAATCTCGTCGAATCGACGCATGCTGGGATTCGATCTTGGCCGTGTCAACCACCAAGAGTGCTTTGATCGCAATGAGCTCGGCCCTGCACTCGGAGGACGCGATGGAACGAGATTCTGCAGACCAATACTTGAAAAACTCAGCCGTCCAAGAATCAAACCGTTTCTTACAAGGCTCCTCATCGTAAGCAGTTTGCAGGCCACCTGGGTGATCGAGCATGAGGAATGTTTTGCAGGGGTAATTGCTGTGCTCCTCCTTCAAGTGCAAGAACAATAAAGCTCTGAGGCAACTGATGAACTTGAAAACCATCGCCCTCTTTGCAACCGTACGCTCATCAAAGGCAAAGCTCGTCCATCCCTCCACGTCGCCCGCTGTCGCAAGCAAGCGGTCCAGAGCATGATCTTCCAACAGTCCTCGAGATACAATGCCCACACGGTAATGGCGACGAGTGTTGTGGGTGGCCCTCGCTTGTTGCTCCTTCTCCCAGCGCATGGTGGAAATCTTCAACACCAAATGGATTAACTCGAAGATCGGGCCAAAACACTTCCGAACCACGAAAGCCATGATCAGAGAGCCGTCGAACCTGACGAAAGCTAGACCACTACGACGAAAAATCCGCTGGTGCAGCTTCGATGCAAGTTCCAAGATGTCGCGAGTGTTCTCGACGTCCCCAGAGAGCGCTTGAGCCATGCCTGCTTCGCCAGCTGCACTGCCAGCACCGCGCTCCCGATCATCGTCACCAGGCTGGCCGTCACCTGCTGGAAGATCGGCCATGACGTTGGCGAAGTCCAGATCCACTGCAGGATCAACCTTTGGTGGGCGATGTCCTCCTCCAGCCTGTCGGAGAGATGATCGGGCCCAAGGCTCATGGGAAGAGGCCCACCAGGGCCGGTAAATATTGCCTTTGCCACCCGATCATCAGTCCGAGGGGTTGGAAGAACACACGCACACAAGAAACCTTTTTTCCAGTAGTCATCTCGTACCAGAGGGTGTACACTGAAGAACACATCCCATGTATGCACTCCAGCAGGCCAAAATAATCCACTGAATCCAGCACCCGAGTCCAGCGACTCCGAGGAAAAATAGGAGGCATCTTGCCACACAGAGCGCGAACAAAGCGCCCCGTCAATTTTTCTACACAGTGGGCTCGGTCCCTGCAACACCCTGGGCGGCAATAGTGCTGGAAAGTGTTTCTCTCCCTGATGTTGCCATTCGCCATGCTCATGATGACGTGCCGCCTCACTCGCTGGTATCTCGTCGAGTGGTCTGACGTAGCCAGAAACAAGTCATAGCAGCGACCGCGATAACGATCTGATTCGAGCCCTGCCCCAAGGCTGCCTGGATCCCATCGGTAATCTAACTTATCCTGCAGCCAATTGGACAAGATGGTGACGAAGTCGACGAAGTAGTTTGGACCTCGCAAGCTCAAAGACCATCTGATAATACCTGTGACCCAAGGCTTCTTGATGCAGTGGTACACACGATGAACAAGGCACTTCAAATGGAGTGTACCGACAAGCTCGTCACGATTGCGATATCTATACACCCGCTCTGCCAGATCGAGCGCGCCATCGCCGTCGGTAATTGCCAACCTCTGCACTCGCCTGAACTGCGATCTAGATGGCAGCACGTTGGAGAGGCAACGAAACATCTCAACATAGCACTCAGCTTTGCACCTGTCGAGAGAGGACAACGGTTGCAGCAACTCGAACGATGCCAACAATGCTTTGCAGCCAGATGTCGACGTGAAGAGGGCACCGCATAGCAATTCGTTCTGGTAGACTTTGGTGTTCACGGCGTACGCCACCATCGCCCCCTCAAGCTTCTGACACAGAGGCACCTCGGCATCCGCGTCCTGGTCTGCCAATTGCTCTGGCGGTGCTGCACTGGCCATGGTTGTGCCCCCAATGCGTGTCTGAACTCTCACCTTGGCGAATGGGGTCTCGTCGCCGCGATGTCTCTCAAGAAATACAGCGGGCTCAAAGCCATTGCCACGAGCCGAGGCGACCAGCCTCTCGACCAACGCGTTGGCCTGGCCCCTCTGGACAAGGAACACACCGCAGGATAAGGTCAACTTCGCCGCTCCCATGTAATGCCTAGTTTTCCCAGATGAATCTGCATCAACGCTTTGAGACGACAACCTCTTGAACCCATGTGGGTCCATGATGCGAGCGAGAATCTCCTCTACCTCGTCGGGGCAGTTCACGTGCGCTCTATAAGCATCTTCGTCATGCAAGAAGTGGCAAGCCATTCCAGCGTAGGTAACGGCATCGTCGATGTTCTTGACGCTTTTGGCAAACTGCCGAAAAGCCGTCCCAGAAGTACATTGCAGCAGGTCGCATGGCCCTTGCAGCTCTGAATTGCCAGCGCCTGAAGCAGAGGGTTCATTGGGGCAGTCACCACTCGCGGCAGCAGCGGCCAGGCTCCATTCGTCCATGATGGTGTCATTTGCGGCAACATCTGCAGCCTCGGCCCACTCGCGAAGCACCCGATCGAGGTCGGCAGCGGTTGCTGTTGCTTCTGCCTCCAGCGCTGCGATCCCCCACTCGTCCATGCATGGAGTGACGTCAACATGCCGTGCTCATTGAGGATGCAAGCAAAATGCCCTGAATTCGCTTGAACGTAAATGGATATGGGCGTGATTGATAAGCGTTGAAAGTACAATGCAATGCAATGAGTGCTGCTTTCCAGCAGGGTGCTTAGAGCGCAAGCGATGCCATGCAATGCAACGCAATGGTGTGCAATCTTACGTTATGCGATGCACTGCGTGCTGTGGGTTGCATTGCTGTGCTATGCAAGGATACGCAACTCAATGCAATGCAATGCCGTGCTGCGCTGTGGTATGTTATGCTTTGCTACGGACACGGCACGGCACGGCACATGGTGCGCCATAGGTTACGCCAGTGGTTGCGCCAAACACCATGGAGCCCTATGTTTTCTCTCCCCCGATCTCTGAACACCTCGCGTGGGCGTCGTCTCTGGATGGGCTGGCGCTGGCGGAGACGCGCGAAGCGCCAGGAATAATCAGAAGGAGTGCCCAACGCAGTTGAGACTTGTTTGAGAAGTGTTGGACGCTGCTTAGAGACTTACTTGAGACATGATTAAGATCTATTTGATACTTGTTTGAGACTTGTTTGAGGCCTGTCTGGGACTTGTTTGAGACTCGTTTGGGACCTGTTTGACACGTGCTTGGGACTTGTTTGAAACATGTTTGAGCCTTGCTTGAAACCTGTCAGGGTCCTGTTTGGTACCTTTTTGAGACTGCTGCCACGCAATGCCAACATCTTCCACACCATTTTCAACATTTTAATGAAGAACGACTCGGGAAGTCGAGTCTCACACTTGTGCACGCCTAGGGGCACAACGAGTCGGGAACGTCTAACGCTCCAGACAAATCCAAAGGCGCAGCGAACTCACTAATAATATCGCCGAAGAGAGGCTGGGACGCGTGGTCTAAACCGTCCCACGGAGGCTGAGTGCCATCAGGCTCGCACTCATGAGGAAGATTCTGAAGATGCTCGCTCACAGCAGGCTGACTCTGCTGCACGCCAAAATTAAGTGCACGACTGAGAGTGTCATCGCGAAGAGTCTGGGTGGCAATCGCGTCTTGCGTACCCGAGGCCTTTGCCACCGTAGGAGTATGACCGATCACCACTTGCCCTATCGCCACCGGCGTCACGTGTGGAGCTGGCGGCTGCTTGGAAGAGGAAGCAGCAGCACCATCATCTGGAAGAGCTGCCTGAGACTCACGCTCCTGTGACGAGATTATCTCCACATCACACGACTTGTCAACTGCATTGCCCTGGGTGCGTGCTTCTTTCACGGCGCTGACTCCATCTTTGGCTTCAGCATGGTCGGAGTCGTCACGCAGCCGTTTGAGGAAAGCACGCTGTTCTTGGGTAGGGTCGTGTGCCCTGCCCCGAATCTGCAAACCAATAGGGATCTCGAGAACCACATTCTTGTTGTACCCGATGGGAAGTTCCTTCAGGTCGAGTTTGAGCACAGGATACTGAGAGAAATCAACTGTAACATATTCTTTGCCATCTGAAGAAGCCATTGACCTCACACAACCGTTCGGTAGCAATATGGACCGAAGCATGCGTGAAAAAAAATGGATGCGGACGTGAGTGATAAGCGTTGAAAGTAGAGTGCAATGCAATGCGTGCTTCTAACATGCAGGATGCTTAACGCGCGCTGTGTTAGGCAATGGGGCACACTGCTCTGCAATGCAGTGATACGTAATGTAATGTCTATCGTGGTTTGCACGATTATGCAACGCAACGCAATGTAAGCAATGCTATGCTATGCGCTATGCTACGACATGTGAGCAGGGCACGGCACAGCACCACTTGTGCAATAGAGCTTTTTGTAGTTGATACAACAGACATTGGGTTGCCTTATGTTTTCTCTTCCCGCCCTCTCTGGGCGTCTC